CAACAAATGTACAAATGTGCTTGACACAATGGATGGATGGATGGATTATGAGCTCCCAATAAAATTTTTTTTTAAATTGAAGCCATTATACCAAGTTCATAGATAGGTTTAATAATATGAGGGCAAGACAAAAGTACTGCTATAAAATCATACAGATAATTATTAAACAAAAAGATCCAAAAAAATTTTTATGTTGAGAAGAATTGATCTAATAGTAATATGCTGAGCACATGCATTATTACTCTGGTCTTAATCAATTCATTCTTAACAGCCTCCCACCCAAATAAAAACGATTTTAATTGAGAATTGGGTGAGAGTCTATATATCATATCATCATTTTTACATTCAGCAACTTAAAAAACTTATTAAACATCCAAATGGCTTCTCTGCCCCCCCCCATTTTTCCATCTTCCTCATGTAATATATCTTCTCCTTCACTCAAATGAATACCTCTCTGCCATATAGCATATTATTTTCCCCTTTCTACCTTCTCCACTTACCACTGGTAACAATCAAAGTCTGGGTGGGGGTGGGGGGTAGGTATGAAAACTTTTTCCAGATTTTTCTTTTTATAGCAATGGTCTCATACAGTATTTATCCTTTGTGCTTGACTAACTTCACTCATCATAATACCCTTAAGTCTATCCATATCATTAGGTGTTTCAAAGTTTCCTCATTATTCTTTAATGGTGCATTCTTTTCTTATTTCAAATAAATTACTCCTGTTTTCATGAAAATACAACAAGGATTTTAGGTCACGAGGTGAATATGCTCTCTCCTGACTACTCACTGCAGCTGTAGCATGCTATACCATCACCAACTGAAGCCATCAGCATTATGCCCCCCACTGCAGGTCATTGCTGCTGCCACTGCCAAAATGTAGACCCCCATCACAGAACATTGCCATCAGGCACCCTCCCCCAACAGAGGCTGCTGTTGCTGCTCCCCCACAAGCTACAGCTACAGAGCATTGCCAGGGCTGCACCCTCCCCCACAGCATATTGGCACTGCCATGACCATGTAAACACCGGATGTCATGGTGCATGCATACTAGGCTGCCCCTGGCTGGACACTCTGTCAGAACATGCTCTGTGCCACCCTGGCACCCTGTCCTTCTCAAGCCTAAACAGGTGCAAGGCTCCAAACTTGAGAGAAGATACCAATAAACTTTTTTCCCCTGCAATCGCTCTCCATTTTTCTCTCATTTTATTTCAAACATTAGTATCAATTTTAATTATACTTTTTTTTAATTAATCAATTTATTGGGGCTCATACAATT